TGTAAAACTCATTTACCTACTTAACAGCTAAGTAGGGATGCCATACAAGTGTTAATAAAGTGTATGATGATCTACGTCATGATTCTATGTTGCTAATTAGATAAAATGATATAGTAATTATTCGTGACTATCAAACAAAGTCGCTTTGTAGGGGAGTGTTTGTTGATGCGCAAGCTGATCAAAATGTAAATCCAAGCTGCAGTTGCAATGATTTTATTGTCAATATCCAAAGGCAAACAGTGTTCAAAAGCAGTATAAAACGGATCCGTAGAATTAAACAGTGATCAAAGACAAAACATAGCGGTCAGCAAAAAGTAGACCTCCCCCATCACCCACTCACTGAAGTCACCAGGTGAGCAACAGGTGATCTACAATCACTAATAACACCACGTGATCTCACATTACCCTTATCCACAACAGTAATGACGTGTTTGACAGATATAGCCATGAGTTCGTTCTAAGCGTGTGACGATCTGACAGCGTATGCTGACCTGACAGAACACTCTTCTTTGCTCTTGTAATGCTCTGCATACACTGCAGTACCTATCATTATTTTTATTTAATTATGTACATTGATATTTTTTTAATTAACAAATAAATAAAACACAAGAATGAAAGAGCACGCAGAGCATGCACATTGCTCTTTGATTGTTTTCGTTCAAAGTGGCAGCTGTAATATGTGCCATGGTGTCAGATTGCCTGGCTTTATGTAGTGGGTGAGACAAGTCACGATGAGAGCCTTGTGCCCTTTCTTATTGCTCCTTGGGAAGTGTTCATAGTTGAGCATTATTTACCGTCTGGGCATTGCCTCAATTGCTATGTTAAATGGTACAGAGAGTGGTGGTTTCTGACATGAGCAATATAGGCAAATGCCCATGGCGTTATCTTTTCATTGATGGCACCAGACCACCACGGATTGTAGCACAGAGATGGAAGTTTGTCCTGCTTTTAATATTGGTAAAATTTATCAAGTATTTAATATCTAGGTCTTTTTATGGGAATACAGATATTTCAGATTAGTTTGAGAAGCAATTTTGATCATATTTCACATTTTATTGTGTCATATAGCGCGGGGCACTGGTCTTGGTCTTGACTCAGTCTCGACTTTCCTCGGTCTTGGTCTTGTCTTGGTCTCGGGTTAGGTGGTCTTGACCACAACACTGATATATATAACAAAATAAAACATATATAACAAAAACAAAATTATATATATATATATATATATATATATATATATATATATATATATATATATATATATATATATATATATATATATATACCTCTGGCACCAACTATGGAAATTTTCTGGAGGCACAATGATAATTATTTGTTCTTTAGTTTAAATGGAAGGTAAGACATGTTCAGTGTGAAACTTCTGTCATTCAGACAAAAATTATTCATTATTGTGCAAAATGTTTTTAGTCCTTTTTTTCTTTATAACCTGAAACGTAAATTTAAGAAATATGGGTATTTTTGACAGAAAAATAAATCTTGGTCATACAGGTAAACTTTAACTTAGACATGACCTCTCCAAAAATATTAATTTGCTCACGGGACGGAAACAGAGGAATATTCAACTCAGAAATATTTTAGTTATCCCAAATGAAAATTAAATGTAACTCATCCTATCCAAAAATTCTCAGTTATTTTCAAAGAATTACACTATTAGAATGTAGTCTAATGACTATAGTCTAATAATCATTAAACTGTAGGACAGAATAATTATTGTCTTAACATGCTGACTACTCAATGTGTGTTTAATTTCTTTTTTTTTTTTTTTTTAGGGAAACCTTGTAAGAAATTCTACCGCCCTGGGCGAGAAACTGGAGAGCTGCTGAGCCTTTGTCACGGTCATGTGTGCGGATGCGCTGAAGGTAACCAAGCTACATGTCGAAAGATTCTTCTGTGTTTCTTTAGTTTGAGTCAGAAAAGCAACATTAACACAGATGGACAGAAATCACAAACACAGAAATCTGAATGTAATTCTCTGTTTATTTGAAGGTTGTTAGAGTTGGAGACCAAACTTCAGTTTAAACATGTTTTATGGGGGCTAAATTTCAACAAGAGTGCCTTTTATAAATGGAAAAAAACAAGAAAATCAATTTTGATTAAAAAATGTTTAATTTCTTACATTGTCTCCCTTGTGCATAAAAGAAAAAGCAATCCTTTTAGTTTTTTCAGGTTATCTTTCTTCAAAGTAAAGATGCAATAGATTAGGAGCTACACTTCCATAAAAAATAAAATTTTCCTACTTTTATCTATTATATTTTCCATTTTGTCAAAAATAAAGGAACATGTTTATTTATGTCCATTTGTCCCAGCAAAGATTGTTTGTTTTAAACAATAAAGGACAACACATTCCTAAAAAAAAAAAAAAAACTAACCAAAAAAAAAAAAAAAACCCAGGGAGCTCAAAAAACTTTTCCAAGCCCGCACAACAAGTTTT